TAAAGAAGTAATGAAATACTCTTCAGGAGGAAGAAAAGCTAAAACACACAGGCACATAGATAGAAAGAGGCACTGACGAATAATCACTCACAAGGACATCGCTAGCCAGTTTTCTCTTGGAATATAGAAAGACTCCAGGAGATTAATAAGATGGTATGCCCCTGGTTTTTAGATTACAAAACTCTTATGGACTATAAATTACTAGTGGGCTTTTCTTTCTCTTAACAGGAAAACATCTTTTCAAACCAAAGATTGGTATGATTATCTAGTTATCTCTCACACCAGTCTTATAAAGAACATAATAGCCTCTGTAAATGATAGAATGATATTCTTCGCAAAATACAAACCAAGCAGTTCACATTTATAGCTGCTATACTAATAATCCAGTTTGATAGTGTCTTATCTTTGGTCCTCTAAATGGATTTCATAGTTTAGCTCTAACTACTTTAGACCTTTACATTTTATTTCATCATTGTTCTTCGATGGCAAATATTATAAATCTTGCTTTTCCATAAGAAAAACTTTTGACTTCCATGAAAATGTACAAATAAAAATTCTACATCTTTTAAGCTTTTCCTAATAATTACCATCAAAATTATTAACTGCATGTCAAAAGATGTCAATTTAAACTAATAAACACTGAAGTTTTTGTAGATGAAGTGTAAGAAATTTGTGTTTCTAATGCATTGGTCACAATATCCAAGTTAGTTAAATTTCCCAATTGTTAGATTTTTGGTTGTTTGAAACTATTAAAATGATCTAGGTGAAATTTGTTTTCTTTTTTTTTAATACAGCAACTGTATTTAAGTTAAATAGTCTAAATATAAAAGAGTAAGTGTATATAAAATCTTTTGCACACTGGTGAATATGAATAGTTTTGTGCTTTACCAAAGGTTAAAATGATTTATGTGAAACAGTTGTTGCTTTTCTTTATAAAACAATATTTGCAGTCCATTATTTTGTCTCACAAGGAAAAAAAAAACATGTCTTGTCATGTATATAATATTAACTCATAAAATTTATTCATTAATATACTTTCAAGATTAAAACAAACTTACTTTTCATTTTATTAATTCCTGAAAACAGACAACAGCAATAACGTTAGAGATGTAAAATAGCATGGTGGAACAAACACTGGACAGAAAATGTGGATTGTCATTCAAGTTACATAATTTCTCATTCTTTCATGTATTCACTTATTCAACATGGATTGAGTTGATATTTATTCAACTAATTATTTACATCACACAATATTTTCTAGTTCAGAAGATGTCAATGTAAATGTTCACTTTCCTTTTACTTGATGAGGTCAAAATATAGTGTGAGAAATGGACTCACCGTATGAAAACTGGGGAAGCAAGTGCTGTAAGCCTTAGTTATCTCAGCTGTTGAGTGAGAGGGAATACTGGGTGTCTCTGAAACAGCTGACGGTTTTTACATTCTCTAATTTCTACAACTAACTCCACTTTAAATGGTTATTTTTTAAAATTTAAAAATGTCAGAGTCTAATGATGAAATACCCTATTTAGTATTTATATACATTTATTTTATATATATATGTTAAACCTATTTTGAATGTTATGAAATTCATTTATACTTCTTTCCTATTGATGCCTTCAATGATCAAGAGTTACTAATTTGAATTTATTAGATGTCACAAATAAACATTTTTATCTTCAAATTATAAAAAATTAAAATTAAAGAAAAGCACTCAAAACCCAAAATGAGATGATTCTACTTACCCAAATATATTTATATTCAGTTATTGAATTGCTATAATGATATTTGAACTATATCTGCTCAGTGGTAGAAAACATTATGGTAAAATAAAAAATAACATGTTTGCTGTCAACATAGTTTTAAAATATCACATTGACTTTTTTCCTTTTTATGTTCTTTCAGCTTTATTTTTATTTCTTTATTGAGCCTCTATGAATTTGTTTTCCAAGCTGCCTTACTCTTAACCCTTGTTCCAGTTTTATGTAAATAAATGGTACATATATTTTAAAATAATTATTTAAACAAGTTCATTAAAGTTCCTTTCCTCAACTTGACGTTTTTAGAGGTCAAATGGTCACATGATATTGAAGCTGTAAGGGATTTCAGAGATCATTTGGAGTTATTCTCTTAAAAATGTCACTGGATGACAACAATCTCATTCTTTCTGAAATAATCTGGGTGAAAAAGAGGTCAGCCTTTTTAAGCCTGGTCAGCTTTAATGGCTAGAATATGTTTCTTTGGCTTTATTAAAGTCTGTTTTGAGAGAAAGACAGTAAGTTATGTTCCCCTACTTCCAAATGCTAACGTAAATTAGGGGCATACTTTCATAAACACTTATTAACAATAGTAGGCAGTGAGAAGAACCATCTCTAACTGAGGCAGAATGCCATAGGAGCCTGGGGAAGGAGGGAATGAGCCCCACAGAGCTTCCACCTAAGGGCAGAGGAGGCCTCTTGGCTTAGGTGTCACACAGTAAAGACCTATAAGAGAATAGGAATGATTTAGAGAAGTGATGTTTAAGGAAAACACATTCTAGTTAGAATGAATGAAAGGAATAAGGCTTAAAGGGGAGAAATAGAATGTTTTTGTTTTGTTTTGTTTTTGTTTTTGTTTTAAAAAATCATGAGAGTGCTTTGCCTTGTGTGAATAGGAGCAGAAGAAGAACACATGTGAAAGAATATAATATTAAAAAGGTAAATTTGTGTTGTATGAAAAGAGAGAGGATTAGCACTCCCCTTGACAAGGACAGAAGAGGCCCTTGGACCTGACAACATGCATATGTTTAAGGCATTGCCACCTATTTCATGGCATTTAACTGTTGTTTTTGGACCACCTCATAAATTATGTGGATATCTAGTCACTGTGTTTTATGCCCAAAACTAATGTGGTATTGTGTGTCAGCTGTAATTGAAAAATAAAAAAATATTTTAAAAAAAGGTAAAATTATGCCAGACCATTGATAATCATAAATGCTTGCTAATAATGCTATTACTAATCTTTTCTCCCGCCCTGCCTCCTACCACAACATACAGTCCACAAGTTCCAAGTTAATTTACTCTCAAAGATCGTGACCTTCAAGCTTTTTAATTGTGCACCTTAATAAACTAAAAAAATTATACGAATATGTGTGGTTCTATTTAGAAATTTTATACATGTATTATGTAACATGGACTTACCACTTACTAGCTTGGGCAAGTTATTTAACCTTGTGAATTGCCAATATTCTCCTATCAAAATGGATTATTATAAAAATAACCAGTAAGGTTATTGAACATATTATATATACACATATATGAAAAATATTTTATTTAAACCGTGACTGGCAATGGTAAATATGATTTAAGCTTTAGCTATTAGTAGTAATATTAGTAGTAGTATTACACTTGAATAAATTATTAAATTTATAAAGCAAAATTTAAAATATAAATTAAAAGGTGATGAATTTAAAACAAGAATATAAATTCTCACTATTCTAGAAACTAGCAAAGTCATTAAGGATTTTCAGTAGTAGAATAACATGTTTTATTACATCATTTCTTTCTTTAGTATGTCTTTGAGAAAAAAGAACATCCCGTCACTAAAGCTCATAATTTACAACATAAGATTGACTGGCAATATTACTTACCAGACTAACTAGATTTTAGCAATTTTCAAACCCAAAGGAACAGTTTTGGAATTGTTCTGTTTGATTTCCCAATAATCTGAATCAGTTTTCTTCTACATCAGCTTTGAAGAGTTGACTCTCCTCAAACAAAAGTGGGTTACTTTATGAATTGCCCTGTGTAAAGGACAAATCTGTTTTGTATCTGCTGTGAACCGAACATAAAAATGACTTACTTACAGGAATTAATTTGTTTTTTGTAGGAAAAAAGGTCCTGATACAAAGAAAAACATATAGGTAAATGTAAAATAAATTAAGCTACACTAATATAATGAAAACTCATTAGTTGCATACCTAAACTCTATCTAATTCTAAATCCTACCTCCACTCCTGGAAGTGTAATTTAGAGCAAGTTAGACTCTCTTTGCTTTTGTTCCTTCACTGTGCCACAGGGACTGGCATATTTCAAGTGATCCACAGAAAGTGCTAACAGTAGCTAACATCTGTTGATCAATATATTCTTGTTATATAGTTAAAGCTATAGTGTGATACAATGCGAATGCTTCTGATTTCTACACTTACTTTAGTTGTTATGTAGGTAATTTTTTATAATTGTGGTATGGATATTATGCAGAAAAATGTAAAGAAACATTTAACAAATATAATACACAATCATCTAGTCATAATTGACTGATGACAGGTACTCCTAAACCAGTTCAGACTCTCCAGCTTTTGCAGGACACCTTCCTCTTGTGTTTATTCTTTTATTCAATGAATATTTATTATATACCTGTTATATTCCAGGCATCATGCTTAGGCTGGGGATATATAGGGAATAAGCCACAGATTCTAGTGGGAATTCCATTAAGAGATACCTTTATCCTTTTAGACCACATCTTAAAGATCTATTGTTACAGTCATGAAATAAAAAGAAAAATATTATACAAAGCTGAGATTTTTAAAATTGCTTACTTTTAATGGCTGCAATAAATTTATTTAAAACAACAAAAGATTTTCTGCTATCTTTAGCCACTACATAAGTCTGTCTTGTTCATCCATGCATCCCAAGCATGTGGAACATGGCAAGTACTCAGCAAATATTTATTGAAATAAATGAATTATAAAACACTAAAATAGCTAGTGATGTGCTGGTAATATTTAGCAACCAGTTCTCTGGGAAAGGGACTGATTTTTAGCAATTTCTGGCCAACTTCTGATTTTGGTGGTATGAAATTCACTTTGGCCTGTATCAACCTAACAACGTAACATCAATTGACTCATATTTTTGAAAATTTATCAGCTGTTGCAAGCCAGTCTAAACCAACTCCAGCATATATGTGTGTGTATGTGTGTGTGCATGTATAATTTTTTAAATACATATAATTTTATATATATATATACATATAAATTTACTTCCAGTTAAACATCAAAAACAGAAGGTTTTATTATGCACTGTCTCAATTTCTAAATGTAGAATAAATTGGGAAGTCTTTACCTCTGTCTCTCAATATCTACAGTAAAAAGAATGTAATAAACTTTCATAATTACTATAAGCTAAACTTTAAATTTCAAAATGTACTCTTTCTAATACATTTAATATATTTCACCTTTAGCCTAAATTGGACAATAATTTTTTCACACAATAAATCCTCTCCCAATTTGCTCTTATATACTAAATTGATTTTTTTGACCTGTGAATGGTCTGAGAGAATTTATTATCCATGTATTTATAGAATGTTCATCAAACAGGAGACTGGCACTTTGGGAACTATAGTAACTTGTAAAATATATATATGTTTGGCTTGTCAGCTGGATTTCTCCAGCGCTTTCCCTCTCTAACTCTAGAGCAGAATTCTTACTAATAGCTAAATATTATTTCATTGCTTCAAATGAAACTTTATAGGACTTTTCTTCCATATTAGTAGCAACTGTATGCCATGAAAGTCTTTTATATATGATACCAATATTTTTTAAACTTCTTAATTAAAAAAGTCTGTAATATATTAGTTATTGTTAAAGGAACAACTACAAATTTACAATAGAATCCTGGTATAAGGAGCTTTTTCAAGATTTTATTTGCAGCCAAAAGCAAATCAAACTCCTTTGCACAATAGTATTTCTGAATGCCTCTCGTACAGCTTCACTGTCTGATTCTTCTTCAGAGGTATGTGAGCAGTAGTTGAGGAGGGATGGAAAGAAAGCTACAGCCAAGCAATTTCTAGGTAAGGACAAAAGGCACCTAGAACTCAAATCCTGAAAGAAATGTCACTCTGCAGGCATTTCCACCTGATAATACCACCTGACCTCACAGAGCCAGTGCCTCCCCTTCTTCATCGTCTTATTAATCTGTTCCCTGCTCAGCAGTCCTGTGTACACACTCTCACTCAGATACCATAGCCCTAATAACCTATTGACTGATTCATTCTTCATTGCTACTTTTTGGGTCCTGTCCCTAAGCCAAGTGCTACTCAGTGTCTTCTTTCCTAGATCTCTCTTTGTTGTTGATTCTCCTTTGCTACATATGCACTATTTCACTGGCTATCATTGAATTTATTTAAGCCATGTGAGGCATAAAGATTATATTATACCCAGATGATTATTTTATTCTAGTATTCTCAAAATTTAGTTGCATATAACTACTGCACTTGCCATGTTTATTTGGATGTGATTCTTTTTGAGCATTGACCAAGAAAGAAGAGTTTGCTTTCCTATGAGATTTATATTTCTTCTTCCAGAGAAGAGATACTGAAATTATTTAAAATACAGATTTTCTACAATTTCGCATAAATCCCTTGAGAATTATATTTCTCACAGGTGTGCTTTCTGCTTATAATTCCAAATAAGATCGACAGTTTGTATTTGTGCAGAAAAGACTACCTTCAAAATTTCACTTTCTTTTTTGGAAATATCATGAAGAGTATTAGCAAAGCACTACATCCTTCACCAATTCAGATCATCAAAATGAGAGCTAACACTCATTAGACATTTAATATAAGCCAAAAATTGTTTTTAGCAATTATAAGCATTATTTCATTTAATCCTAACAATGCTACTTTGTTTGAGTACCCTTACTCACATTTTATGATAGTAAAATTGGCTTGGAAAAATTATTTTGCTTTCCCAGGGTCACTTAGCTGGTAAGTGTGAAAGATTAGACTCAAACACAAGTCTTTCTACAAATGAAATTTCTGCTCTTATACATTGCACTATAGTTCTATAGTTGTTCAATATTGCTTTGGTGCTTTCTGTTCTAATGTTTTCTTGAAAATTGTAATATAGTAACCAGAGGTGTCATTGTTTAAAATCACTTCAGTTTAAGATCCAGTATAGACATTGGTTTTACATCTCTAGAGACAATTTATTAAAAAAGCAGTAAATTGAACATTTTTGAACATGTAAACTTTTTTTCCATATTAGTAGCAACTGTATGCCATGAAAGTCTTTTATATATGATACCAATATTTTTTAAACTTCTTAATTAAAAAAGTCTGTAATATATTAGTTATTGTTAAAGGAACAACTACAAATTTACAATAGAATCCTGGTATAAGGAGCTTTTTCAAGATTTTATTTGCAGCCAAAAGCAAATCAAACTCCTTTGCACAATAGTATTTCTGAATGCCTCTCGTACAGCTTCACTGTCTGATTCTTCTTCAGAGGTATGTGAGCAGTAGTTGAGGAGGGATGGAAAGAAAGCTACAGCCAAGCAATTTCTAGGTAAGGACAAAAGGCACCTAGAACTCAAATCCTGAAAGAAATGTCACTCTGCAGGCATTTCCACCTGATAATACCACCTGATGACCTCACAGAGCCAGTGCCTCCCCTTCTTCAGTGTCTGATTCATCTGTTCCCTGCTCAGCTGTCCTGTGTACACACTCTCACTCAGATACCATAGCCCTAATAACCTATTCACTGACTGATTCTTCATTGCTACTTTTTGGGTCCTGTCCCTAAGCCAAGTGCTACTCAGTGTCTTCTTTCCTAGATCTCTCTTTGTTGTTGATTCTCCTTTGCTACATATGCACTATTTCACTGGCTATCATTGAATTTATTTAAGCCATGTGAGGCATAAAGATTATATTATACCCAGATGATTATTTTATTCTAGTATTCTCAAAATTTAGTTGCATATAACTACTGCACTTGCCATGTTTATTTGGATGTGATTCTTTTTGAGCATTGACCAAGAAAGAAGAGTTTGCTTTCCTATGAGATTTATATTTCT